GGTGTCAGAGCTGAATTTATCCGAGTCCTCCCGAGTCATTCAGCCTCTCCTATCAATGCCTTTCTCAATTTCTCATGGATTTATTTGTAATTTTGATTTGCGATCGGCAACAAGTCTTTGAAATTCCAGTCAAATGCAGTAAATGCCAAAGATCCGTATGTAGCATTTTAACTGCACAGGTTTGTTGCTACTTTGGAAATGCCCTTTCTGACTCAGCAGCAGAGCCCATATGGAGCACAAAATATCATAAATCTTGCATTATATTAAATAAATCTGCTCTCTCACTACTTATGTATCCACATGGCGTACACAGTATTAAAAATGAAACAAATGATTGTCACAAGCATATAAACTAATCAGAGAAAACACCTGGACAGTAGAGGCACAGCACCCAAACGTGCATTCTTCAACTTGATGCATGCGTTCTATTGGTATATCATGATATCCTGTTGGTTACCAAGGTATGCAATGTGCTCAGACCACCTGTCCATGAGCACCGTGCCACAGCAGTAATGGCTTCTAATCCTGGTTGCCAAATCACACTATATACTGATGATGTCACACTTTACTCACAGGAACTCTTTCCTATCCACCCTGAGCTGAAGTGCACCCTCACTGGCCAAAAAAAGACAGGTGGTACTTAGTTTTCCAACCGGGTTCTTGCACTTGTTCAGCGTGCACACGAAGACCATGCATGATTCTCAACTAAATTTGTTGTGTGTACTCAGCATGCTGAGCGTCACACAAACTTGCGTGCCTTTGTAATGAATGCATACCAAAGGACTGTCAATTTCATTCAAAACACACCCTCTTTTGTTCCTGCTCGGACTGGATAGGAGCTAAGTGGGACTATGAATTCAAAGCCCCATCAGAAAACATACATGTAATCAAGGTAGGATATCAGCACACAGGCCTATGTTGTACTTTTTAAGCAAAGATCTCTCTATTTGGTAGAATACACGAGATACTCACAATTTCTCCAGCTTTGTTTGCCTTCGAAAAACGTCTTGTTCCAACGCCACAAGCTCATTATTCTTTAGCTGCCTGTGGTGCGATGTAACAAATGAAGTCAAACTGCATGTTACAACTCAAAGGTGGAATTTGAATGACCAACATCATCAGTGCAGGTTCCCCTGCCTTAATTAACAATGCATTGATAAATCCAGCTTTATAAATGGAAATGGCTAGGCGGTGAATTAGCTTTTTGGTGTATGTCAAATAGAAATTCAGAATAAAAACCTGACACAGGTATACTTACAGCTCCACAAGATTGGGGACGTCTGCAAAAACATCACCGCCAAGTCTTGTCAGTTTGTTGTTTGGTAGTTTCCTGAAAACAGAAGCGAAAGAGAAAAGGTAAAACAGAGGTCAGAACGATGTGAGCAGAAATTTGATGCCCAGCTTTTGTCACACTGACCGCAGGATCAGTCAGAGCTAAATCACCTAGGCATGGTTTTATTTGGATATTGCCGTTATAGTTGATTCTAACTCGATTAAAGAGATATTTGGCATGAAACTTGTTCTTGTACATTTAATTTTTATCCCCTCACAATTCTATTGACGTGAAAAAATGAAAATGATTGGAAGTGCTTTTATAGACATGTACATGTAACACAATGATGTCATGCTTTGCTTACATGTGTGTTCTCCTATGACAGTCGGGTGGGAGGTGATCTATTGAGCTGTGGCCCCATGGGAAATCACACATGTCAACCTCATGGTGGTTTCAGGACCATTAAATATGGAAGAACACTATCCCACCCAAGAATGGCAAATTCCAATAATCCAATTATTAATACAAGGAGGGGTGTGCTTACAAATACTCCAGCTTGTCCAAGCTGTGTAATGCACCAGGTTCAAGATTGGTAACATTACTAGATGTCACAAGTCTGTAAAAAAGATACCATAATTAAATTCTTAAACAGTCTGTTCATCCACTTAAGAATCGTCATCTCTCAACCCGAATTAAGAAAGGTGGCAGTACCGTTTTTTAAGTGTTAGCACTTTCAATTTCTAAAATAAAACCTACAGTCTAAATAAGGCTAGACTAACCTAGATACTTGCCAGAGAAAATGAAGCTATGAAATTATCTACCATTTTTCCCCTACCCAGGAAAAGGCTGATTTTGATCGAGTTATCAAAACATGAAGTCAATCTGCTTTGAAGTAGAGTTTTACTGAAATTCAGTCTTATTTTCCTGACAGCAGTGTGTAGTACTATACATTGCATATATTCAACCTGACACCCTACTTGGTCTTGTTATACGGCAGACCAGTGGCTGATGATGTTTGAGTAAATTTTGTTTTGGTTTTTTCTGTATCCAATTTATAAACAAAGAACAATCAAAGTGACAACCTTATTACAAAGATTCATGTAAATACACTAGGCAACCAGAGTCTTTTATTTTTTAATTCTTTTTAACGTTTTGGAGAAGACAGGGTTCCTTTGCCAACTTGCTTCTTTTCCTCGGCTAAAACAACTTCAAGATGGCCGAAATATACTCACAGATATCTTAGATTGGTCAGACCCTCAAAAAATCCAGATTCAATGTTTCCCATGTTCTTCAAGGCTATCTCCCTGTAAGTAAATTCAAGCAAATACCTTCCCTAAATGAGACTTGAAGGTCTGCGTGGTATGTGGCTTATGTGCAGAAATATGAATGTTGTTGCACCACTCTCTTCTAATTAGAATTTCCATTTGTACAAGGGGGAAGGAAGCTGTGATGTTTCAATCCCGAAGGAATCAAAGTCAATGTAGGGCTGAGTCACTTCCAATTATTCACTATTCGCATATTTGACCTTCAATTCAATTGAATATCCAAATATTCGGTCGTACTGACCGGCAGATTATTGATGAACAAACTATACAAAATCAGTTGCAATAACGCACACAACTGTACATTATAATCACTGTAATAGCTCCTTACTTCTAGGAGTATCTCCCGCCGTGATTAAGCAAGATTTAAGAGACGAATACTTCTTGCCCTGTTGAAAATTTATATTCCTTTTGAATTTCTTAATGAATAATTCACTTTTTGAATCATCGAAAGATATATTATTCTGTCACTTTTCATTTGAATCTGCTTTAAACAAGCCTCCATAGTGCAATTTCTTTTATTTAAAACAAAAGAAAGTTCTCCTCTCCTTTTCATGAATTTTTAATTTGAATATTCAAATTCAGGCAATAATATTCAAATATTCGATAACCGATCATATATCCTGATATTTGGCACAGCCCTAACTCAAAGGCATTGCTCCTCCATCTTAAATTTTACAAAATGTAGGTACTGCAGATCATATTGCTCCACTAAATAATCGTAATAGTTACAGCAGGCTACATTTTTTATGCAACTTCTAAGCTGACTCAATGACCCAATTCTGTATTTTAAAAATGCAAGGTCATTCAAAAACAAAGCTTGATTAAAAAATCAAGCAGGTCAGTCAGGTTGGGTCGGGTCAGGTAAGCTGACATACAGCAGCATTTCTTGATGTTCCCAAATTGAGCTACGACACACTTCATTTCCAGCACATGCTGTCTAAACACTGAACTCATTTCTTTTCTGATCCCATACCCCTCGCTATATTCTCAGCCTTCCTACACTCACAGTTTACTTGTGACCTCTGGAGCAGATCTGGTCAGCTCGGGGCTCCAGGTTTCTTGGCAGAAGGTGATGTTCAGGTTGCCTGGCGATCCCTCACAGAGGCAGGACTTAGGACATCGTCTTACTGCGGTATATGAACATTAAACATAGCTATAGCACCTCTTGCAACCCATTCTAGATTACAAGGCATTCCATAAGCAGAGATCATTTGGGGTTACAAGGTATTCGACAAGGAAGCAAATAAAAAGTGACATCAATCACAGATGGCTCTACACAACATGTGTTCACACTTGTCCAGCAAACATATTAACAGTTTAATACTTGAAAGTTTATAACAGCATTCAGTGGAAAGTTTTGCGGTAGCACCATGCGAAGGAATATATCTCTTATGAGTATGTGTGGTTCTGAGCAACAGTATACCAAAAAACAGACTTTAGAAAAATAAGTTTCCTTAATCTTCTCATTCATATATGAAAAAGAATGTGGAAATTATAAACTCCATCTCTCTATTTACTTGTAAATGAATGTAAAATTAAAAATGCTATCTGAATGACAGCAGAGGCTTTCAGAGTAATTATTCCTTTAAAACCTGAAATGAATGTTTTGATGAACTAAATTCATGGCTTTGATTATTTTCTCAAATCCAGAAAAGTAAATTTTGAAACGCCAATACTGCACACGTATGTTTCGATCCCATTTGATGTGAGGAAATTAACAAGTTCAACCGTGCACGGTGATTACTTGACCTGACCCTTGTGAACCATTACAGAATGGTCCTTAGCAACTTCCCAATCCAATGAGCCTTCTCATTTTGAAGACATATCGCTTGCACAAAATTAACAAATGATCACATTGAAACTCTTTGTATGTGCTCTAGAAGGCTTGAACCGAATAAAACACCACAGAATCGTGAAAAGAAATGTTACGCACATTTTAAATTTAGCCTCACAGTGGTTGCTAAGATGATAAACTATTTCCAATCTCAATCGATCTCTTGGTCTTTCCCACCAGAATTCAAACGCACAAAACCAATCTAGCCATGTATCGTGATCATGTATCGTGCAGAGTACAATGCGGCCTGTTACACGAGTTCTGATGTACATGTGCATTTACATATAAGGAAATTATGCATCGGAGCCAGTGTACGTAAAACTGAGGATGTTTACCGTGAAGTTCAACATTTCCTGGCAATGTTATAATAACAGATAGACCTCGGTTTCAATAATAAACTTCGTGTTAACTTACTGTACTTTTGTGTTCATCTTTTGTTTGAGTCACTGACTTCTTACACTCACAAGGCCGTAAGATTATGCAGGATAAAAGGAATTGGTGCTGAATTAGGTCGGTATGCGAACGTGTCCGGTCAGGTAGAGAAAAAATCTAGCGGAAAACCGTCAGTAAATCTAAAACCTTCACACCTTTCTCCACCGCCGCCCGCTTTCGAAAACTTTAGGAATACTTCAAATTCTTTGTTTGGGCTTTCAAAAATCGCATCAAAACGTAAACAAACTACCACTTACAAAAAGAGCTTTCACACAAATCACTCGTTTTGACCACTCTGGTACTATTTCTCAATTTTATTTTAAAAAAATACATTAGGAAAAGGCCTTGTGTTACCATGAAAATAATTTGGGGCAGGAAATTTTGTTTCCAAAAAAGTTCAAGTAAGACGTAAATTTCATGAAATGAAGCAGCTGTTTGCCTGGCACGAATTCTCATGGCCCTCATTACGTATGCAAATGACCCTAGAATGGGACATGCGCAGTTAATAATTTCCCTCTGAAACATACGTGTGCAGTTGACTTCATCGTCTCCTTGTGGGCAGTCCATTACTCCATCACAATCATTCTTGAGAGCAATGCAGAAACGAGAACCTGCGCACTGGTATCCCAGTTCACAATAGCCTACAGATAGGAAACAGAAACACAATCAGCACAGCTGATGGGTAGGTGAGCAGCTGTCAGAAAACTTGTGAGCCCCCAACGGGGCCAAAAGAGGGTGCAACTTCGCTAGCAACACAGTCTCCTTGGTAGGAACTGCACTTCATTGGTTCTCAAATGACTATGAAATGTATGTGTCAGTTACCGTCGCATGTGCTACCAACAAAATGAACACTCCCGATCAACATGGCTCTTTTCAACTGATGAGGGTGGTTCTGTTCAAGTTGGATAGCCAGATTCAACAAAACTAGGCTCAAGTTTCCCATTCTTTAAACAATTTAAACAACTCTGACATGGGAGTTCACAGCTTTTGTGATTTGATGTTCTTGTGGTCGTTCACCCACACAAAAATAGTCGTTAAATTAACTCAGCCCCCTCCCCCTGAAAAATGGTTTTGGCTTGATTCTTCTTATGAATCACACAGCAACTCTAAAATCTCTCCCAATCAAAGAAGCACAGCTGAGAATGTACAAAATGTAGCGAGTTCAGAGACAGCAAGCTTAACAATGATTGTCTTTCTACAGCGAATTTAGATGGTGCAACAAATTTCCACTGCTGTTAATGCAAAATGTGTATTTGCTGCCTCAAGAAACTTCCAAATAAAACGGGAATTAGTAATGCCACACTATGCAGCAAAAGATTTAAGCTCTTGGCAACTCTTGTAAAGTGATCCTAACTTTGTTGTACAGGCAAAGTTACCCAGTTGCATCAGGTATTGTAAAATCAGCATATTCAAAGCTTGAATTCCACCATTCTCACGAACAACACCAAGTCACCTTTCTCCAGGCTTTCTTGAACTGTGATGGAGAATGCTGCACCAGTTACTTCCACGTCTGAGTACAGCCTCACCACTAAGGAGCTGCCACTGTAACTGAGGGAACGTGCTGTGCTGTGTCTCTTCAAGGCCACCATATCTTGGCCAAATGGGTCTAATGGGTTCTGATGAAAATACAGCAAAATGTCAAAATGGAAAAAAAATTAATGTATACACCATTGGTAAAATAATTGGGAAAATCTGGTTACCTCTGTGCTGAGGACAACTGCACCGAGCCTCAATTAATGCATAATCAAAATATTTTCCAAGACACTTAAAGGAACCAGAAAATAAAAGTATTTTAATAAATTTTAATAAAAAAACTTGAAATTGCATCTTTGAGTTTTAATTAACCTTATTCTAAATGGTTTTATTGCGATTTTAACCCATATTTTGATGCTTTTTGGTTTTATGCTAATGCATATTTGCATATTCATGAGCAGAACTGTTATGTCGTCCAAGGCACTGAATCTCAATGTTGCACTGATTTGTGCACAGAAATTGAAAGATTTTTTTAACCACTACGATGGCAGATTTTATTTTCTTTGGCAATTTATTGCTGTGTATAAATATGGCAATAATCCAGCAAAAATCCTTTTCACAGAAATGTTCCCAGATTCCAAATTTGGGGTTCACAATTTTAACAGGAAAACATGCAGCCTGAACCATGTCTCCCTTGATTTACATCAAAGCAAAAGCGCCCTCATTTGTCCAGAACAGTCTTCATACATGGAAAAAGAGTACAGAGATACACAAAAAGTGATTCTCAGAAAAATTCATCTCCTGGTTCCTTTAAACCTGTCCAAGATTTTACCAACTTCTGTAAACTAATTTCTGCGACAAAATGTCAAATTAAAAAGAAATCTAGAATTAGATTTGCATCGAAATTGTTCATGTTGTCACCCATGTAATGTTAATGTGAGTGTTACAAGACAGAAAAGTCTATTTTATATTTATTTCTCCAAATACCTGAATTAATAAGTAGTCGTTTCCCATTGGAGGAAACTCTACAGTAATATTGTACTCATTAGAGGTATTGAAACACCACTCCAAATAATCACTGGATGCATTCAACTTGTAGGCGTTGCTATGGAGGGCATCACTAGGGTCAAAGGCGTCACTGGGATCAAAGGTCAACTGAAAGGGTAGGTCAGTGACATTTTCTGGGCACGTAACTGCAACAACAAAGGAAAAACAAAACAAAAAACCTAAAGTGTTAACAACCTCTTTTCTTGGCTCGCACCAGAAAGAAAAGCAAACGTGGCAAAACACAACATACTTTTTGCTAATCGAGTTAAAAGCCACTGACGAACAAAAATTAAGCTTCATGACCTGGTCCTCATTCATCACAGAGAAGAAGACACTGTGGATGAAGTCGAGACAAGAGGTTAAAATCCTACATTTGCATCATGGGATAAAATATTAGTCAGCTCAGGTTGGGTTGGTTTAGGAATGCACAGTTTAAAAAGAAAAGTAGTGATAAAAAAGAGATGATTTACAACAGATTATTTACAAGAAGTCAACCTATGAAGATAAAAAAAATGGTCTCCAGTTTAAGGCAAATTGTTTGACAGTCTACTCATGTGGATCCCCAGATTAAAATATCTGACGCCAATCCTGGCATTCCAATTAATTGCAGGAATTAAACTTTGTGAAGAAATGTTATTAGAAGTGTATGCTTATATAGGCCAGTTCAAACTCATAATTAAACGGAACCACAAATCATTTTGCTCTGATTCTATCTAATCATGCATCAGTTGCCATTGGTAATTGACTGGTTAGGTACATTTGATCAGGCCATTTCGACAGAGCTGACCTGTTAAGAGAGACAGTGAGGACAAATTTCTTGTAATCTAACTCACGGCAGTTTTCCTCATCATCTCCGAGAGGACAGTCATTGATGTGATCACACAGATACCGGCGGGCAATGCAGATGATACTCGTTCTGCACTGGTAACCATCGTGGCAAATTGAAATCACATCTGTAACATTATAACAGGATTGAAGAAAACTATACTTCAACTGTAGGAAGTTTATCAGACAGAAACAAGGAACAAAAACATTACAGAAAAACAAGACAGATATTTGAAGGAATTTTTAACAAGTGCAGTTTAATAACTGTATAAAAACCTGAATATCTACCTGTAGATGTCCAAGTGTTCTTTATAAAACAAAAAAAACAACAGAAACATTACTCAGTAGCTTCAAAAAAAGAGAGAAAACAGCAGGTGATTGCAACAAGCTCAGATAGGACTGTGTGTCAAAGAATAATACCTTGAATTTCAACTTGTTCAACCTCCACAACAAAGCCTTTTACTTTTGCCAAGCTTCCACCACCTGTTTGCAAGCTGATGCTAAGTCCCACCCACTGATAAAGTAACATCCGTGGAGGGACCCTTCCACTGTAGGCTACCATTTCACCAAATCCCACTCCCATGGCAATGATGTCGCTTGGATGCAGCTGGATTTCTTGGATCTTCAAAAGGATTCCACTGGACACGGTTCCATTGCTGGCTGATGTCCACACCTCCCACTGGCAGTTGGTGTTCTTGGGATATTCCATTGGGTAATTGGGGGAAGTAATTCTCTGTGAGGCTGAGGCAGATGGATGACCAAGCTTAATCGTTTTGGTGGTACAATTGAAACGAGCTGAAAACAACGCAGATAGCAAAATTGCATAAATTTAAATCAAATAAAATCGGGATACTAAATAATTTAACGTGAAATAAACCTACACACATAGCTTTGAACCAATTACAACACTTAACACCCGCATAAGACTCCCTAAAAAGATTTGTAAGTCATCCTGGGTCCTGACCATTAGAGTCAATTTTCTGAAACGATTTGTCCAAAAAACCACCCACATGGAGGTCCCACTCCAAGAGTTAAGATCGAGGAAAGTCTGGTGACCAAAACCTGAGCACAGCATCCAAACCTATAAGGGGCTGTCCATAAAGTATGTATGTAGGAAATGCCAACTTTTCAGGCCACCCTCCCCTCGTACCCATGGTTCATGCACGGGCTCCAACAACACCCCCCCCATGATTATGCATCAAGAGTAATAACCATAAAGATCATCGATGGTCGACTTTTACTCAACTGTGGGAATATTACAGGATTGTACATTTTACCTACAATGTAATGCATTATACATGTACTTTTGCACAGGTGAGGGCACCTGTATGTTTCTGGAAGACGTTGCCAGTCTTTGTGTCATGAGTAATACTGCAGTTTACTAATAATCAGATAATGGGCATTGGCACAGGAGGATAAATGGTGGGGTGGACGGTGAAGGATACTGTGTTTGAATGGTTTTTCGATGCACTAAAGCTGATTCGGATATTTATTTGTATGAGAATGTGTATTGATATGATGAAGATTCATGAAAGGCAAATTTTCGGTTTGTGTTCGACACGCACTGGCTTTAACCCCCTCCCCGTACACATGGTGTACGCAACGGCACCAACCCCCCTACCCCCTTTGGGTGTAAATACTTTACAAATGGCCCAATATAAAAACACTAATATTAATTTACCTGTGCTGTTCAATTGCTTTCATGAGCAAATCTGTTGTGAAATTTTTGAGCTAATGTCATGTAACAGCGAAAAACACAACTTTGTTGAGCAGAGGGAATGCTTAGCGTGACTAACAAATCGTTTGCTAAAAGGTTACTTTTGAACCATTCTCCATGAAACTGAATCTTAGCTGAATTATGATGGGTTCAGTTTAGCACCAGTGACTGTCTAGATGGTCAATATGAGCCCTCTACATATAAGCATACACCTGATATGAAAACTCCTCCTGAAATCGTCCCCAAAACACTATTAAACCTGCCGCAATTGACAGATACAGTAAGTATGAAGAAGGCCTGAGTCAGGCCAGTCACAAGCAATCACGTCTACTCCACTGTCCCTTGAGACATTCAATCCATGACTTTCCAATCAGTTGAAAAAAGAACGACCTTTCCTCATCGAGAGCAAAGCCTCCAGGTCCTGACAGGTGGGTTCAAGAGACCACACATACAGGCATGACAGGTACGCATCCCATCACAGTTTTAATGGCCATGCAAAACACACTAACCCTATCTGCTACACTACATGCAGCCTCTCTTCAATCATCCCATTCAATACAAGGTCTTCCTTCTCCAAATTGTACCTTTTTTAAATGATTGATCACCGTGAGTCTGATTTCTGGCAGTGCACTGCAATGACTTTTCTTTTCCAGTTTAGTTACAGGTACTGAATTAATGAAGGGGGAATCAAACCTCTGGCAGGGTTGTAATGATTCACTAAGTTTTGGGACTCAAGTTAAGTCCATCCATTTGCTCAAAGTAACTCGAGTTGAGTCATTTACCCATTGGGACTCCAGTGAATTGAAATTCAGACACTTGTGACTTGATTCAAACTCAATTTGAGTCATTGATTTGAGTCATTACAAAGTCTGTGGCGAAGAAAGGTAGCTATCCTGATTGAGTGCTGTTGATATTTTCAAAGGAAAACTTATGACCAGAGCAGAGAGGTCATTAAAGCAAATCATATTCAACAACAACTATTTGATAACTGTGCTGTACATGCGTTTGTATTTCATCACTTGTCTGTATATTGCCCCTATTCAGTTTTATAACGACAAGGTCTGAAGATAATTTTGACTGAAAATTGATTATGACTTAAGCAAATTTGTTATAAAGCATACATTTCTTGACATACAAATATATAATAACTCTGATGTACCATGTACACAATTTTTTTAAAACCGATAAGTACCATATCTATAAAGTTTGGCTTCATCAATTGAAACCCTAGGGCCAAAGGAGATACCCTCTTCCCAGCCCATATTTTTTCCTACTGCGGAACTAAAGCCAGCATTTCCAAACAGGGTGCACATCTGTCTTGAAGTGAAAAATTGAACACCAAAGTGAGAAAAAAGGCTTTATGTTCCCCACATATATATCTGTACAATGTCCTATTAATGGGGTATGTGCCGACAACCCTATGGCTGAATCATTAAGTGGCCAACTGATGAGCAGATGGGCCACGATAAAACATGCAGTAAGGATAATAAACAAGGTACAACAGATGCTGCTTGCCAAGTACAGATACAATGTATGTGAACCTTTCTCACCAAAGTATGTACTGTTTTGCTGTGTCAGTACATGCCGCGCCAACACTACCATTGTCTCATGTTTGAGATGTCAGTCAAATTTCTATGATAGCAATTTGAAACCAGTATTTCAGCTGTTAACATTACTCCACAAATGACACTGACAATACCAGGGTCCTTAATATAGATGTGTTTCTATTTTGGTTGCTCAGAATTATCGGCGATGGGGAGGCAATCAATATTGAGCACAATTCCACCACCATTTTTTAATCTGGAGACTGGAAATAAAACTAATGCTTAGTTTTATCTCCAACAGTTTCACTACAAACTGGCTGAATTGAAGAAGTTCAACTTCTCTTGTTTTAATTACAGAAAATTTTCTCCACAATACATGCCCATTTAAGTTATTTGGTGGTAAAAATAGCAATTAATTGGCCAGTTTATCTTGTTCAGGGATAACTTACCTTCTGTTACTATCACCCAGAACTGACAAATGGCCTGGTTCCCCGCACCATCGTTGAAGGTGTAACGCACTGGTAAACGGGCAACGGGGAACGGGGTCCCAGGCCTGAAGTTGAAGCTGATTGCCACCTCTCCAGAATTGTCCACTGCCTTGGGATGGGTCCAGTAGACAGGGGTTAACTGGGTTCCCAAGGGGACGGTCCTGTGTATGTCTTGGGGGCAGTTGGTGACTTTTGGGGGAATGGTGTCAACTGCAGAGATGACAAGGACCAGATTAACCAAAAAAGCACTGTAGGCTCTGTACCTATATGGGGCCGACGAAAACTTTGAGGTTCTATGGAACTACCACTGTTTCAGTTCCTCTTTGAATTCTGAATTTTTGAAACCTTAAATCAAACTAGCTAGTGAACAGCTTAGCATTAACATGAAATGCAAGGTTCCGTTGCTTGCCAGCTCTATGTAGTTACCTGGGTTGGAGTAAAGCCTAGGACTCATGGAACACTTAATCCAACCCTGAAGATATCAATGATGAAATTGATACATGATTTCCCCTTGGGTTAAAAAAAATCAAGTTAGAGGTCTACAATGAAAATCAAGTAATCTCAAACTGTTTGATGCCCCCCTCATTCAAACCTCTCCTTCATACAATTTTACTTTGGTGACATTCTCCTTAGATTTTTATTTCAAATTTAGAGACAGTGTCCTCGTAATTTTCCATCCCTTTCTTCTCAATCCCCAAATTTTCAAAGAAATCCACAAAAATCTGCCATTTAATTGCAAATTTATCCCTATTCTCATCAAGCATTAGAAAACAATATCTTGAATACGCATCACTTCTTATGAAGCAAATATTCATCAAAGGAAAGTATGTTACAGTGCATAACTTTCCGCCCGCATGTAGTCCTACATGTAGCTGTCTCTGTCAGATTTATGCAAATTCCAATTTGCAAGAGTTGTGTGTATTCTAGCATGAACAAAATGGTTTCACTGGTTAAACTATGGAATGAGTGGCGTTTTTCAGTGTGAACTTAAACTTTACACAGGTACCTCGTGCACAGTTAACTGAAATTTTTACAGCACAAATTCGGCAGACATTCATTTGGCTCTTATCGGACAGAGAAGGTCAGACATTTTGAGACTTATCAATGTACAGTGGTCCTGCTTCATTTTCATTGGTATTAACATACAGGCAATCAGCTCATTAAACAAATAAGTCAAATATCGACAGAATGATGATCAAAATTTGGAAACCGAAACTGAAACATTCAACTCACTTATGCCATTTGTAGGTGCCACAAGAAGAGATGCCAGGATCAAAGCAGGGATTAGTACACACCACTTCACAGCTGTCATCTCTGCTTTCATCTCGCTACTGAAAATCCAACTGTCTAATCCTGAGAGAAAAATGAGTAATTAGGAGAAAGGAGAGGTGAGTTTTAAACTGAGACTGAAACCTGGGAACCTGAAACTACCGGTATGAAGATAGGTGACTAATGTGAATCTGGCGTATCAAGGCTTTCCTAGTAGGCCTGTATGTCCACATTTCTAACAATTGTTTCAGTCAGACAAATAAACTAAGGAAAGGTGTAGTTGCTTGGAACTGAGCCAGAAAAAAAGAAAAACTGCAAGTATGCTCAGGGTTTTACTTATGGATGGTTGTATTAGAATTAGATAAACAACTGTATCATAACAAATTCAAGGGACTTGGAGTCCCTCTACATTTTGTGTATGAATACCCACATTTCCTGCATCACATGTAGGTCTTAAAGCTAAAGCACTCACTGTCCAAGTCATTCAAAGTACGGGCATAATCTTGCTAAAACTTACCAAGATTCCCCAAACACAAGCACACCAACCACTACTGCAGTCAAGTCCTACGCAAATTTAAAGTCTCTGCAAGTCCTTTAAAATTCCTCACAGTCTGTTCAGACTGAGCCAAGTCACAAATTATTTAAATGATTTCGTGAAAAGTAGCATTTCTTGGTCATTTTCACGGTTACTTATGACTGGTCTATTATAAAGAACTTAGACTTAACTACAGCACTAACATCAATCCATTTTTAATAAACCAGACAGATATAATATCCAACTACAAATATGTCACTGTCATGTCAACACATTATCATGACAGAACCTAAACAAATACTGGGTTCAGGAGGGTTGGAACAGATTCATGTGAAAACAACAGGAATTCCTGAGTGTCACAGGAAATTGTCCATTGGGAAGTCCTTGTACATTTGTAAAGGTTTAGCAGTACACAAAACAAATATTAACTGCTTGGAAAATCAAGGGGTTTCCCTCATCAGGACATCACATCTCTGTTTTGACTGTGTCATCGAAAGTTTTAATTAACACACTGGCTCATACATGAGAAGCTTCCAAAATGAACAAACCAACCAAAAAAATCTTCACTGTCAAGTTTGAAAAATTCATGGACAACCAATTCATCCCAACAGCAGATTCCGGTTACATGGATTAAAACATGTGTACATAGACACTGCTAATCAACAGCGAGTACATCTGAATCAGCCAGGAATCTAGTCAAGGTACATTGATTTATCATGCATTGAAAAAAAGAGTTAAATATGTGTGATACTCTATTGCACAGAGGGGATGAATGGGGGGCAAATGACCCTCCCCCACACTGTCCCCTCTCATACACCTGCAATTAGAAGTTTAGCATATGCTTAATGCCCCAAACCACCTGGAGGCCATGCAGGCCCTTCAGTTAGACCCTAGTTGAACCAATGCCGTTATAAATAAAAATTAATAATAAAACATCCACACTTACCTACCTCAGAGGTTACAGCAAAGCGAACCAGCCTATGATAGTTGAAGTACAAAATACACAGTCTGCTCCTGTGAACATTCCCCCAGTGAATGAAGCTTATTAGAGGGGCCAACAAGCAGCGTTGGGCAAACACTTCTCATCCTCATCAGCGCCAGCAGAGCGTGACCAGACTACGTCACAATCTATCACCGCCTGGCAGGTATCATTATGAACCTGCTCACTCATTCCCACGCAAACAATTACCATTTCAGGTGGGGCAGAGGAAACTGTCAAGATGGAGCTGTTTCGAATGAGGTGGGGGTAATGGTGATGAATCTCTTCCCACCCCCCCTTCACTTCTCCTAACCGCACAATATTACATCTGGCAAGAATGGACTGTTCATTGACACCACATGTACGTTTGACAAACAAAACAGATTTAAAAAAATTACTTTATACCTACCCGCAAGTTTCAGGCGATTATACACTACAAATTATTAAGCTTTGTTCAATAAACATGTCAGGAGAGTGTTCCGGAAGGCAGAGGTTGACATCCCAACTCCAATCAACTTCCTGGCTCATATGTGCAATTATTGTGAGAAATCATTGCAGCGCATGAACAAAAAGGCAGCTTTGATTGCAGAAAGCCCAGTAGTGGAAGTTCCCTAAGTGTACATCATAAGGGATGTGGGCACAATCTAAATATTTGCTTCCTATGCAACTGATAGTCCTCTGATCACACCGGCCCATCTATCTTCTCTCTCAATGAACCAGGCAGGAAAATGCTTTGTCACTTCAAAGGGCCCTGGGCAAAATAACAGACTAGCACTTGTGTAGATAATTTGCCTACATGTGGTAATCTGTTGCTAGGCAGGTCAAACTGTAAAATGAAAAAAAAGGCAAAATACTTTTTAAACAAAGTGGGGAAGTGGGAGCGATATTAAAGCAAAGTGGGAGAAAGTATTAAATAGAATTATTGATGCTGAATAATAAGTGCTTCCTTTAAAATGGTGAAGACCACCTTTGATTTACATGCTCGAAGAAGAGAAAAACACACAATAAATTAGCAGCACTTGGATGTGCACTTCATGGCTGCTAATGTCCGGCCATATTGTGATCCTAGGAATAATCATATTATACCAGTGCATTAATTTTATCATCAATATCTATCTTCCCCGTTACAGAATGAAAATGGAAATTGCTCAGTCACTGGAAAAAAGCTTAGGGCGCAATTACCCAGAGGGTACTCTTGAGTGAGCACGATGACGGCAAAATGATTTTCAAAGAGGGAGAGTGTACATTTGTGAGACCATCAGGCATCCGTTTTTAATGGACAGGTCGGGGGGGGGGCATTATCCCCAAGTCAGACAAGTGGGGCCAGTCACATGAAAGGTTACGTGAAGAAATTAATGAAATTGTTTACCCCTCCTGTGTGAAGACTTGGTACATTTTCCTTAAAGCAATGGGTACCCCTTTTTATTCTCTTTTGAATCTGTTGTCCAAAACACTTGTTGAATGCTGAACTGACAACTCCTGATGACTCTGACTTTCCGTCTGTCAGTGTTACTGGGTTTGTGTGGGGGGGAGGGGTTAACGGGAGAGTGGGGAGGCAGTTCTCAAGGTCCACATCCCTTCCTTTAATATCTGTGCCACTTTACCCACTATGAGAACTCGCAGATGAAGAAAAGGAGCTTACTTCCTCAAGAAATGATGCAGTGCCATTACAAAGCCTTATCTAAGCAGTAGACTATCAAATTTCAGAAAATTTTGCAGTGTAATCAATGAAAATTCAATTTCCTGATCAACCATCTGTAAAATGTGCACACAAGATATTCAAGATGCACAGTAATGATGCAGTCTCAAGGACAAGAGATGCACAGTGTCACAGTCTATGGGAACTCTAGAAAGAGGATCACTTCACACAAAATTTTAATATTTACAATATATACATCTAAATTTATTCAAAGCAATAATTATGCACAACTTGAAATTGCAGGGGAAATCTAGTTGGTTTGAAGGATCCTAGTTAAATAGCAAATAGTCAAAATGTCCCTCAATGCAGAACTTGGCCCATGACCATAAAACGGCAAATTCATCAATCATACTAGATTTATCTTACAATTAAATTTCCTGACCAATTCTCATTTTACACGGTCAAATTCCTTTATACAAATTACTCAATATTTGCAGTGCTCAATCATCAATGCATGTTATAAAACTGTCAGTTTCTTGTACAACCTTTCTTCATATAAAATAGTTCTAGAATCCTTAATTTGCCGGTCAATTCTCAGGGCTCAATATTAAAATTTCTAACCACACAATCCATCCGCACTGTGGAGGATATACAGTAAATTAGCCAGGTTTACTTCGAAGTGACACTTCAAACTGACACTGAAGGGTGACACTTATACAGCAAAAATCAGTAAATTTCCCACGAAGTATGACTTTTAAACAGGTGCAACAAACCAAATAATCANCAGGCAGTTCTCAAGGTCCACATCCCTTCCTTTAATATCTGTGCCACTTTACCCACTATGAGAACTCGCAGATGAACAAAAGGAGCTTACTTCCTCAAGAAAGGATGCAGTGCCATTACAAAGCCTTATCTAAGCAGTAGACTATCAAATTTCAGAAAATTTTGCAGTGTAATCAATGAAAATTCAATTTCCTGATCAACCATCTGTAAAATGTGCACACAAGATATTCAAGATGCACAGTAATGAGGCAGTCTCAAGGACAAGAGATGCACAGTGTCACAGTCTATGGGAACTCTAGAAAGAGGATCACTTCACACAAAATTTTAATATTTACAATATATACATCTAAATTTATTCAAAACAATAATTATGCATAACTTGAAATTGCAGGGGAAATCTAGTCAGTTCGAAGGATCCTAGTTAAATAGCAAATAGTCAAAATGTTCCTCAATGCAGAACTTGGCCCATGACCATAAAACGGCAAATTCATCAATCATAACTAGATTTATCTTACAATTAAATTTCCTGACCAATTCTCATTTTACACGGTCAAATTCCTTTATACAAATTACTCAATATTTGCATTTCATCAATTTCTTATATTTCATCAATTCACGTTATAAAACTGTCAGTTTCTTGTACAACCTTTCTTCATATAAATTAGTTCTAGAATCCTTAATTTGCCGGTCAATTCTAAAGGCTCAATATTAAAACATCTAACCACACACTCCATCCGCACTGTGGAGGATATATAGTACATTAGCCAGATTTACTTCAAAGTGACACTTCAAACTGACACTGAAGGGCGACACTTATACAGCAAAAATCAGTACATTTCCCACAACATATGACTTTTAAACAGGTGCAACAAACCAAATAAATCAAATATCTCAAACTTTCAATTATATTCACAAGATAAGGCCAAACACAAAGGAAATCATGAAATTATCAGAATGTTATACAACGATAAGAAATTATTTATTTGGGGGAGATTTGCAGTGGTGCTCGTCACAGTTACGGTAGTTCCACACCCATTGTCCAGATCGCCAAGGCTAGTAGGATCGCAAGAGCAGGACGACGCTGTGGAGAGCCCCCTGTAGTTTCATCTACACAGGTTGGGGAACAGTGAGGCTTCAACTCCGCCAGTGGGATTCCCGGCAGCTAAAGACTCTCTCCAGGCTTCACAGATTAACTGGGCTGCCTACAAAATCAGGGATCCGCCGATCCATGTACATCATATAAAGACCATGACTGCCATTATTTCACCGACATATGCTTGTCCGAGCCACCCCCAAGACTTCACAGAGCCTCAATCATCTGTGCCAATAGCCAAGGGACGGCACAAGCTAACCAAAATGGTCCAAATAGTCCGGAATAGTCTAACCAAATCCTACATTCAAGGTAAAATTAGTTAACTAAGGTTAACTGTTTGTTGTACTAAAACTAGTTCTTAGTTAAACTCCAGTGTCACGTTCAGAGGTTGCAGATTTGAATCCTGCTCATTTGTTTTCAGTTGTGGAGGGTTATTCTGAAATTCATTACTGGTACAAGGAAAGGAAATTTAAACCAGTTTCCAGTTTGGGGATCCCCCACAAAAACCTACTTGACCTAATGAACACCGGAAACATTTGAATCTCGACAAAGATTTGCAATGGTCTTTCTTCTTGAAACCAAAGATCTATCTTTGGTATACCACGACAAGAGAAAAATCTTCCTTAAAAAAGCTCTTTGTAAGATCTTTAACTTCATCATTTTGGGTTTTTTCTCGAGACTGCTGACTGCAAATTTCAAATTACCACCAGTGATTCCACAGATAGCGAGAAACAAACCAAATCAAAGTCCGATTTCCAATAAGGGAGACACGGTCACCGGGCATTGATGGCACAGCTTTGAGAAGCAATGAATAGATCACAAGGCCCCGGACTGGATGATTGCTCCAAATGGCTGGACAATTCACTGACAAGTTAACTGGAATGGTGAGTGTTTGACGTTTATGCTCTGCCTACCAAGCATCCATTCTCAGTAACTAGATCAAGGCTGTAGCCAATCGGAACATTATCTGGAAAGTTATTCAGGCAAAACAAGTTTGCGAGCATGGGGAGGATGGGTGGAGATGGTAACTGGACACTTTTCCAAATTCTAGCATGGTCTTCATCAGCACAGACTCCAAAAAAAGTTGCAACCATTAGAAGAACAAGAAAATACTATGAGTAACCTAGAATAAAAAGTTGGAGGAATGAAATTGTGATCCTAGCTGAATCTTTCTAAAAAGGCAAAACAGAAATACTTCTGTGACTTGATTTATAGCAAAGAATAGATGTTTCTGAAGCACAAAGTGAAGCTGGGGGGTTTGTGCACATTCTGTTGAAACTTGATCATGAAGACATTACTTGGCCGATAACACTCATATACAAGTCATGGTTGCAGCTGCAAGCTGGCATCTTTCATAGGCACATGTGCTATTCCAATCACAATCAAGTAGTTTGTATGGACACCTATACTTTAGTGGATCTCCTTAGAAGACACAGTGCCTAAAATATGGTGAAAAACTCATCGAAAATACCGTAGGTGTATAGCATCCCAACATGATCTTACATGTACAATGTCTCTGTATTTGTGGCCCACTCTGTGAAAATGAGTCACACGTCACCAGAGCCAGTTGGGTTTCACTTTGTATTAGATTGAGGAATTTGAGCTCTTTGTTTTAATGTGTAACTCAGTTTGGTATGATGGACATGCACATTGTGTAGATCTTAACGAAAACAAGTCACAAGTCACCAGAGCCAGTTTCACTTTGTATTAGATTGAGGAAGTTGACCGCTTTGTTTTGATGTGTAACTCAGTTTGGTATGATGGACATTGTGTTGATTTTACAATGTTAAGGATTCCTATTGCTAAACACTCTGCAAGATTCTTTCAAAGGCCTGTAACTCAAAAGTGGCTCTGGCAACATGTGACCCATTTTCACAGAACGAATCACATATCTGCATGCACCCTATTATTATTAAAGAGACAGAACATGTTATGTGCATACATGCAAGGTGTATACCAGTAGCAGGTGTGAAAATATTAATCCATAGGCAGAGGAACTTTCAGTACACGTCACTCTCAAATATTCTTCATTAAGTTTACTCATTTGGAGGTTGATTTGAGAAGCATTTGGGGGAGGAATTATTTCCAGACACACTTCTTGGGGGTGTGTTATTATTACGGGTGACAAGGAGAACAACAGATGTTCACTTCAGCCGAGTGCTTCAGAGAATCTTTCCAAGTGTGAAACTCCTAGAATTTGGCTGTAATTCTTTGTTCGTTGTTTCTGCAGATTGAAAACTAACGGTCCACTGAGAAAGCAGTTCACCGAGGCTGTTGGGAATTCCTGTCAGGCAATGCCAGCAGCTGCAATTTTCCAATTAGTTCCCTCCCTCCTGTCACATGCAGAAGAACTTCAGCAACTCATGAAGCGTTGATGTTCCGGCAAAGGACAAGGTTATTATTTCAATTCATCACCGGCAATTATGGGAAACAGATAAGGGTTTAGCAGGGGCATACAATGCTCAGTATTCAATTTCATTCCGTCACGACGGACTGACAGCCAATTCCCAACAGTCATTCCCTTTACTCTGCTGACTAAATTAACATACGCACTTTCTTTGAAGTACGGGTCATTTCATCTAGGCTACGGACAGCTGCATACTTGTGTTGAACAGTTGGTCTGACTCATTATTTTCATCACATCGCTTGAGCCCTAACAAGTCTGGTGACTTACATAATTGAAAAAAAAAATTATTACTGGAGGAAAGAAAGTGCAGATGGGTTTCTTGTTACAATCACACTTCTTTGCAGTTGTCAAAACCAAAACTTTTCCAGCCTGTCCAGCAAATAACCAAGAGGGCTTTCCAAAAAACCAAACAGTCAATAGCTAAAAGTCAATTTATAATCAACTTCAATATTCTCAGCAGGAAATTTGATTAGGAAGTAAGATGCTGTTAGAATAATTCTTGCTGAAATTTTCCAGTTAACTGGGCTTGTTTTTCTTTGTGCAAACTTACCGGTATGCTATGGTTTTCCAGTTTTCTTTTTGATGGATTCTATGAGAATTATTATTAGCACTGCCAAGCCAAAATCCTCAACCAAAACTCAAATCAAAAAATCCCCTAATCCCAATCCGGCTTTCTCTTCTGGAAGATATGTTAATAAATTCAATATATCATACACGCATATAAAACCACATGTACATGGAATTGACATGTTTCTAGTGCAATGCACGGAACATCTTTATTCACAAGATATCAATTGGCTCCACCGAGGGTTTACGCTCCTTCTGTATCAAATCGAGATAGAAAAAAAGGCGTACAAAAAAACCTCTTCAAAACTCCGCAGCTGATGCAGTGACCAGTCAATAATTTTTCCTGTCAGGGCCAACCAGTCTTTTCATTTGTCTCCTGAACCTGTCTCAACTGTTTCTCTCCTGCATGACCTCATTCAAATCAAAGAACTTCAAGATGGACTTGGAGGATGTGCTGTCCTAGTGTCCTTGATTTACTTATGGCTTCAAATTCTGCTGGACTTTTCTCATATGCTGTGCATCATTGAGCACACATGGGGAAATGTAATTGGAAATTCTTCTTACAAGTCTTTCAGGTTCAGTCAGCACTAGATAGATTTGACTGTGAAGCCAATCAAGGAAAAGAAAATCCCAAATGTGATTGAGCTTAAAGCTTACAGTAAACTGGCTAATCAGTTACTAATTAGAAATAGCATTGGTGGCTTATAAGCTCTTTCATCCTTTCCTTCTGCTGGTACAATAATCATCTAAATTTGTATCAAATCAGCTTTGACGAGCAGAAACAAAAATGTAGCATAAATTTACAATTGAACATGTGCATCTGACAAATGTTGACTGCTGTGATAAGGCAAATTCATTTTTGTAAAACTCGACAAACGAACCTTTGTGAAATTGCAGCTATCCAAGGCACAATGTGATAAGTGTATACCTCTATTCCTCTCAATTAAGGATTTTTACACTTCCTACAAGTTTCGTGCGATAATATAAAGCTTAATAGTTCCATGCAGCCTTCGCTAATCCACTGAGGTAGCTGGGCCGCAGTTCTCCCACCATGATTATGTAAAGGAACCACCACTCTTGAAAATCTGTCCCCCAAGTTCAGCATATTGGTTGCTGCATTACACTCTGCAACATTTCATCTTATGCAACATTATTTTGATGAGAAAAGCTGTCTACAAATGCCTTAGTTTGCTTCCAATTAAAAAAAATACCTCTTAGATAACCAGATAAGTACTGGACTAGAGCTAAAAATAAAAAAAAATTGGGGGTGGAGTTGTAAAGTGGGTCCTGAATCCCTTAGGTTCAGCCTCCCCTCCCATTTTATCAGTCCCCATAAAGTTTGAAATTTGACCTTGGAGAACATTGCAATCACTGGACAGAAGTGTTGTACATTCCAGATCACTCAAAACGATGAGCAGTTTATAGGACTTTTTCTTAAATTTGAGACCAAAAGTTTACATGTAGGTTAGAAGGAAAAAATTCATTGAAAGACCTTCAAGAAACAAGTCTATCCAGCAGTTCTAATAAAAGTACAATCTAAATGAACATGTATACTTTTATACATTTCTTAAAATTTTATTTCAGTATTGAAGATATTACCTTCCTTTGTATTCAGTATTTGGCAGTAATGAAGAAGATGCTATACATACATGTACCTAAGACACATGCATATGTCTTAGTCATGAAGCAATAAAATAACAAAAACTCAAAAAGAACAAAAACACAGAGCAACTAGCATTGGCACCACAAAGATTGGGAGGGAGGCAGCGCTTGTCAGCAGTGATAAACCATTAACAGATCAACGGGGTCAATTCTGAGGTATTTTCAAGCCAATTGGTGATTTTTTTCACCCCTTCCTCCTTTTTGTCAGTTCTCTTGCTTGTTTCTTTTTTTTTTTCTTCCCTTTTGTTTTCTTTTCATTTTTATCCTGGGGCTCCCCTAGAACCCCCCCCCCGCAATTTCCATGCTGGTTGGCAGAAACTCGAAAGGAGACACACCACAGAGGAAGAAACGCAGACAACAAAGAGACCACAGACATCTCCAATACACAAGGTGATAATAAAAATCTGTACAGGTGATCCCACGAAGAGAAAACGCCTCAAAGTGCTCTAATTAATTTATCAAATTCAGTAAGTGGCACATGATTCTGTTCAAATCCCCTGGGGATTTTTCCATTCAATGAAAACTGGAATATCTACAGGCACGCTGCCAGTGCACGTGGGCACTCAACTGCACGATTTACAAAACATATGCCCGTATCAGAGCAACTGGGTGTGATGACCATCCATAGACCATTGCTTGATCTTTCCCTGGGGCACAAAATATATCCTCGGCTACCAGGGAAAATCAGCCAGTGTTCCAAATATCATGGTTGTCACTCAATTTTGCCCCTATGCCGTCTGCAAAACTGAACTCCGAGCAAACGGTTAAAAAATGCAACCATATCCTCGTGCATATCTAGCCGCGGAGGGAATCCACACCTGCGACAGTGCTTTGTTCATTAACTTCGATTTGATTGATTTGTTTTCTTGGCTGCGGTTATCTGTGGCTCTCTCATGTACTCCGACGTGTCTTGGAGTAACAAACGTTGCAGACCCATCAATCTTAGCTCATTGCAACTGAGTTGATAGTAAATTGAAGAGATACGAGCAATTACAATGCGAGAACTTTTGCTCCTTTTCAAGGTGTATTTTTGCGTTGGGGAGATGTTAATTTATATAACAGGTTTTGCCCTTAACCAACGTATATATTAATAAACATTATATGCTCAGTGCTTGTCCGAGAGCTTGCGAAAAAAAGTCACAAGCTTACTCGGGTGGGACTCGAACCCGCGACCTCCTGCTTACTAGTGCAGACGTCTTAAAAAATACATCTTGAAAATAGTTCACGGTACCCGCTGCTTCACCTGATCGTGGTCGAGTGGTTAAGACGTCTGCACTAGTAAGCAGGAGGTCGTGGGTTCGAGTCCCACCTGAGTAAGCTTGTGACTTTTTTCGCAAGTTCTCGGACAAGCACCGAGCATACAGTGTTTATTGATATATACGTTGGGTGAGGGCAAAACCCATTACATAAACTTTTGCTCCCTTTAAAAATTGATAGCCAAAGACGTCCTTATGTCTGACAATGTCATCAGTTATCAACCTTCCGACGGATTGCTGGCATCCCCCAGAGTCATGATAATTCCGTCACATTATGTCCTTGCTTGCTCTTAAGAATCGACAGTGCATGATCAATATCAAGCTCGGAGACCTATTAAAAAAAGGGACAAAAATTACAACTGGTGGATTCCGAATCCAAATCTGTGATCTTGGGCACTTGTGGGACTTTGGGGGTCAGTTGGATGACACTTGACTAGATATGCAACTGATCAGTCAGACACTTACCAATGTGTGATCGTTTAGGAAGGTACTGATGTAATACATGGGTATGTTGTCTTCGGCTAGAGGTTCCGATATCTGGGCAGCTATACCACTCTCATCTATGACGCAGCAAATTTGAGACAAGAAAGGTCAACTGACAGGTCAATTCAAGAGGTCATGAATGTGATAAAACTATGTGCATGAGGGGCAACTACAAGTAATTAAACAGTACAGAAGATGGAAGAGACATCAGGCTTGTATTTCAGACGGTAGGAGCTTTCTGTTCCGTGAATGACACATACTGCAGAAATATTTCAACAAAGACGAGAAAGACACCAGCACCATCTCCCGGAAAAATAAATGTTTCATTTTTGGAGGGGTGAGCTCTCAATTGGACTTGACAATGTCTCCAATACATGTGTGGGAACAACATGGTTTTAAGAGGTCCACTTCTATTGACTCCTGCCTCTGCGTTTTACTATGACCTTTCCGATCATAATTCAAAGTTTTATTTTTTTTTGTAAAACATTACACATCACGTCCTGTTCTCCCTCCTCTGACCTTGCTGGTCATCTTGTACTGTGTTTCTCATTCCACGACCCGCCCGCCCCCAGAAAAAAATGAATTATCAAGCTGATACCCCACGTTGCTTTTTATACATCTTCTTATCTGCATAGCATTAAATAAGTAAACATCCTGATTGGATCAGAGAAACGGGGACCGTTGATGCCAAGTGCTTACCAAAGCCTAAGGGGAGATTGCCTATCTTGATCATTCTCCAGTATTCTTCAGTCCCGGTGCAGACACTGCCAGGGGGGAACCTGCAAATGGACAAATAAACAATGCAGGAGAGCTGCCCAAAAATTGGAGAGCCGAAGGCTGGCAGAAGGATATCACTGATAATTAAGGATGACAGCAATGTGACGAGTAAAACCCCGGGGGGTGAGATAACGCACTTAGTGAGTTAAGAGGAATGAGTTTTCTGTTTAAAATGGGGCATCTGAAGAGCGCTTTTCCTCTGCTGAAATCACAAAGTTTAGAATCAAATTAGTGTCACTTTGACAGTGACTGCACTGTGACTGACGGGCGGCAAGACACTATTTTACAATTACTATTGTTAAGTCCCTCTGGTCATGAAACCAAAGATTCCTCAAAAGCTTTAGGCACTGAAGCACGTGAGCCTGAAGAAGAATTCTGTAGAGAAGAGACAATAAGAAGCTGAAACAGTTTAAGAGGTGGGAGGAAAACTCCAAAAGAATATTCTGGGTAAAACCTACAGAATCAGGTAGGGACTGAAAATCCAATCCACAAGTGGACTGAGCCAGGAATTGAGCCCAGGTCGCAGAGGTGGAAGGTGAGAAAAGAAGCACTACGCAACCTGACCACTCCCCCATGCTCAGCTCTGTAACTCCTGGAGATAAGCAATATCCTGACAAATTGTCCTGCTTATGGACACACACCGCAAGCCCACTGCCTGGACTCAAAACCGCAACCACCGGAAAAACTTGTTCTTGAATTTGGCATAACTGACCACCTGGCCACAATGCTCCAGGTAAAATTCCACTTTATACACCTTTGGGTTTTTGTAAAACATTGAGAAAAACAGAAGTAAGAACTCACAATGCTAGGGACTCTGTATCTACGACCAATGACATCCGGTCATTAATGATAGACAGAGACAAGAATCGCTCATGACCCTCCTTGGGTGGCGGAAGAAAGCTGAAAACAGATAATTAGAAAACAAAAGGTTTCTAAACTGACAATGCACTTGTATTTAATGTCAAATTTGACTTGTAGGATGCAACTTTTCCCCAATGAACAGAATTCTCAAGTCCCAATATGAGCTCCTGTGCTACAGCTGTCCAACTAGCAACCTGACACGAACTTGAGTCCTAGTCAAGTCAAGTGCCTGGCGACTTGTCAAACGGTCTGAATTATTGTCCACTTTGAGGTTACAGTTGAAAGTTTGGTCATCAAACTATGGAAAAAGGACTTGGACAAACCTTGACCTTGAATTTGAATCAATCATACAGCACAAAACTTTGCCCTCATGGTTACTGCTATTTTTACAGAGAAGCAAGTAATTCTGACATGTGCCAATTATGAATAAAATCCCATGAGTGAGCATTCTATTTTTGCAGGATTGATTGTGTTTGTATAATATCTATACCCGCACCATATGAACATATCAATTAATCTGAGTTTAGCAGACTCAAAAACTAAACTCCACTCATTTCTAGATTTTGTGAAATATAACTCGGATTCAACTCTTTCAACTACGACTTGGACTGTAATAATGACTCAAATACAAGTCTCACACATCTAGCCAACATTCCACATCTAGATTTCCACAATCAATATCCCCTTAGATTGTCTCAAATTGCAATTTTAAGACGACCTTTTATTTTGAGGACCGTCAAACCATAATTCAGGGATAAGGATAAAAAACTCTGACTGTTACCTGTCTGAATAAAACATGAGCTGCAGCAGTGCAATGCTTATGTGTGACAGCAGTTCAGGCTGGAGACTTGTCACCAGGAAATGGTTGTCTGGGCTCTGGAAGTAATGCACAATGGGTCTCGGCGATTCTGAATTTCAGTGAGAAACATGAAGCTTGTTATCATGTAGATTCATATTAAGTGTCACATTTCCCTGATGAAAAATTCCACCAGAAATCCATTAAAAAAGAAAGTGTTGCAACATTTTATGGCCTTTGATGCAAAGAGGGGGCCCATTACCCTGAAGCATTCTCAAGATTCTCAAGTTTAAGTTCAGTATTTATTTCTACAGTACGTGTATTCAAATTACATGTAAATACTTCGTTAGCAATGTCATTCAGGCCTAAAGATACCGCAGGGGAGCCCATAAGGAAGCAAAGCTTTTTAGCATGATGAGCCCGTTACATTAAACATTACCATAAAGGGGAAATACAAATACACTTAAGACATCTAATACATATACACATAAATAAAAACAACAAAAAAAGCACAACAGATCAGCAGGCTTATCCAAACCACAGGAAATAAAGTAAGTTAAACAAAGGCGTGATTGATGGTATGTTTGAATTGTGGTAGATTTAAATAATCGTTTAAAGATAGATAGATTTAAAAGCTTTAAGTTGACTAGGGAGGGAATTCCAGAGCTTGTGTCCGCTATATTTAACAGTATTTTGAGAAAGAGAAGTATGATTATATGAAATATGGAGAATGAATTTCATGATCCTGACTGAATATACTCATTATAGAAGATGGCAACCTGTTACTTGTACATTGATACATCAGAGACCAAAGTTGAACACTGTACATATCATTAAGTGTTAAGGTCTTATGTTTGATAAAAAGGCAATCCGTATGATCATAGAAATCAGCAAAATTTATTAAACGCAAGGCTCTTTTCTGTAACAAAAAGAGTCTATTTAAATTAGTGGCAGAAGTACATCCCCGAGCAAGTAGGCCATAGTTAAGATGAGAGACAACCAAGGCATTGTTTAAGAAGATTCCAAAATATTACTAGGTAAAAAGTGCCTAATTTAAACGACAATTTCACACAGGTAATTAATATGATTTTTCCACGTAAGTCCCGAATCAGTAAATAGGCCAAGAAATTTATTACAATACGTTTTGGTAATAACAGAATTGCTGATTGTAATGTTACTGGGCATAGAACCAGTTTGGGTAATATTTAAGGACAATCTGTTGACTCTGAACCAGATTTAAGTTCTGTATTAACTATATTGGTGAGGAAATTAAGGTTGCTATGGGAGAAAAATAAATTTGAGTCATCAGCAAACAAGATAAAGGAAAGCAATTTAGAACACTTCATGAAATCATTAATATACGGTATGTTATAAAAAGCAACGGGCCCTAAGGATTGATTCTACAGGTACACCGTAAGAGGCCTCGATTTTGAATTTAAGACATTAATAGACACAAACTGCATATGATTGGAAAGGTTGCTTCTAAACTGCTCTATGGCAATTCCTCGAACACCATAAAAAGAAAGTTTGTACAGTTGGATTTTGCGGTCAATAGTATGGAATGCTTTAGAGAGATCAAGGAAAATGCCCAGGGTAAGTTTGGAGTCATCAATGGCAGTAGAGACTTTGTTTATGAGGTTTAGTAAAGCATGGGTGGTTGAATGCTTTTTACGGAACCCATACTGTGATGAGTTGAACATTTCGTATTTGTCAAGAAATTTAATTGTACGCGCATAAGGACATTTTTCAAGAATCTTGGAGAAAAATGATAACATAGAAATAGGTCTATAATTGTTAACACAAGTGGGGTCACCTTTTTTAAAAATTGGAATAACTTTAGCAATTTTTAGTTGTGAGGGAACAACACCGGCTGAAAAGAAAGCAATTAATTATATGAGTAACTTGAGTAAGGGCTTTACTTATAGCACTAATACAACTTTTTAAGATGGAGGCACTAATGCAGTCATATTGTGAACTCGTTTTGTTTTGTCGGTTATTAACCACTTCGTGCCGGGGCATTTTTCA